GAAGCAGAAGACCCAATACTGTTATGGACTATTGAACTCTTTTAGAATATTTTGCTGAGTTTACACACCTATAATACTTAAATGATGGAACTTAACAAAAAAAGGGGATACAGATGAATGTCCATTTTGTATCTGTGTATTCAGAGTGGTTAGGATAGATATATAGTTGCATTCTCTTAATGAATAGATTTGTTCTAATGGTGTTTTTAAATAGGATATCAAGTCCGCATCTTGTACAGCAATTAACCACTAGAAAGAATGTATGCAATATGTTAATTATTGAAACTGTCCTACTAATTTGGTTTGAAACTGTCTCATTGCTATTTGTTTCTCAATAAAATTATGGAAAAAAAGAAATAATAACTCAGAAACAAATAGATCATTTAATTAGATCATGAGTCTTATCTCCAGTACAAAAATATGACCTTACAAAGCCTTAATATGCAGACCAAATCACCAGTTTTTAGAAAATACACTACCCTGTATAAAAACATGAAACACTTCTCTACTTTCAAGACATTTATTGTCTTTTTGGAAAGACAAGATGAATATAAACAAAGCATTAATGAATAGTGTAATAGATGCCCCAATATGTAAAACAGACCACAAACGCCTTTACAATAGGAGCCGACCATAGCTGAGAGGAGCTCCAAGAGGACTTGTAGGAGGCAGGTTTGTGCTCCTCGTGCGGGAAGAAAGGCAGGCAGGAGCAGTTAGGGGCCTGCCAGAACTACGGGGATCCTGATAGTGTCCACAGAAAACAGTTCTAGGTGTAAATGTAATTGGGACTAATTAGGAAAAGCTTAAAATCCATACAGACCATTCTCTATCCAGGCCACTGCTACAAGAAATTTTGAAGGAAGTCTTTATTGTAGAAAGAAAAACATACTCCATGGACATTTTGTCCTAGGAGCAAAGAACAATAACAGTATATTATATGGCCTATAATATATGCTGAAGTAAATGTATAATAATAATAATTGCAGAAACTACAATATGAGGTACCTGGCACTTTTATAGATTCTTTGTTTTTTGTTGTTTGTTTGTTTTAGTATTGTAGGGTTCTTAGACCATATATTAAGTAATAGAATATTATTTAAGAGCAAACTATAATAAATTAAGTGTAGAGTACAAATCTTAAAGCAAACACTGGAAAGCAAAACAAAGAATAAGAAGTCATAAATAAATCATGAAAAAGGAAATATAGAATGAAAATGTGAGTGAATAAAGAAAATATGGGATGAAAGGATTTAAACTCAACTGAATAAACATGCGAAATGTAAATGATCTAAATAACTCAATTAGCAGACATATTCAGGCTTTATTAAGAACAAAGACAAAGCAAAACTTAATTATATGCTATCTATGTGACATTTACTTTAAACTGAAAGACTTAATTAGATTTTTAAAGCTGAAGAAAAAGATATACTATGCACATAAATTCTAATCAAAAGGAAGAAAGAATGGCTCTACTGATATTAGACAAAATAACCTTCAGAGTAGTGAATATTACCAGGGACATTGAGAATAATTTCATAATAATGAAGAAATAAATTTACCAGGAGACCATAACAATGCTAAATAGGAATATCTAACATTGACTGCAAGATTTCAGAGTTCATAAAACCAAAACTGATAAAAGTTAAAGAAATAGAGGAAAATAACACCAGTTCTATGTGAACTGTCAGAATATTGAAAAGGACATGTCTGCCCAACTCTATCAATAAGGTCTTTGATTAAATAGACACCAAGACCAATGGCATTACAAGAAAATAAAACCACAGGCCAATATCCCTTAGGAATATACCCAAAACTGGACAAAGAGGGAGAGAGGAAGGAGAGGAGGTAAAAGGAAGCATCCAAGTAATTCAGATGTGTTATCAGCATGCACCGAATATATGTACTAAGATGAGTAAAATTTAAATTTTTTGATAAATTAAATTCAATGATATGTTTAGAAAATCATGATCAAGTGCAGCTAAGCAAAGAATGCATAGGTTGGTTTACTATCAGAAAATTAACAGTGTAATGGACCCTAATGTGTGAAGTTGACAAGTTTGTAATAATTTGTTACAGCGGCCACAGAAAATCCATATGAATGAACATCTTCACACTAGTTAGTGAAGTATTAACATCATACTACTTAACCCTACATCTTTAGGAAGGTAACGCCTCTACTCTGTAATTCTAACTAATATTATGCTGTAAGTACCGGGCATGCTGGTGCACACCTGTAATACCACCTTGCAGGAGGATTGCTGCAAGTTTGAGACCAGCCTGGGCTATATAGTGATTTTGAGGCCAGCCTGTACTGTAGAGCAAGACCCTGTCTCAGCAAAATAAAACAAAATATTATATTTAGGCCTTGGAACAATAAAGCTGGGAAAGAAAGGAAGGCATAGAGTTTGGAAGACAATAAGTAAAAACGTTATCCAAACAGTAGGACCATCCATAGAAAAATTCAAAGGAATCTAAATAAAGCACTACACAAGTAAGTTTAGCAAGATTCCAGGATACACATCAAAATCTAAAAAATCAATTATATTTTTGTATACTAATAACAATTGAAAAATGAAATTAAGAGAAAAATACCAATTATAACAGCATTAACATATGAAATATACAAAGGTATATTTGACAAAAGATGGGCAGGATCTATACACCAAAAATTAAAAAGAAATGGCTGAGCATAATTAAAGAAAACTAATATAGAAGGATATGTGACGTTCTTAGACCTAATATGGTTAAGATGTTAACCTCTACAAATCGATCCATAGTTTCAATCCAATCTCAATCAAAATTCCAGCAGAATTTTGTAGAAATCTGCAAGCTGAGTATAAAACCTGAAAGACCTAGAATAGCCAAAACAATTTTTTAAAAATGTACTCATCCAGGCTTCCTGTACAACAAGCTATTAAGAAACATGATGTTAGCAAGGTGTGGTGGTGCAGGCCCTTAATCCCAGTACTCTCTAGAAGGCTGAGGCAGGAAGATCATGAGTTGGAGTTCAGCTTGGATAACAGTGATTTAGCAAGATTCTGTCTCAAAATAAAAAATAAAAAAGGGCTGGGGATGTAGCTCTGTGCAAAGTCTCTTGGTTAAATCCCCAGTACTGTGAAAAAGAGAGAAGGAAGGAACATGGAAAGAAAGAAGAAAGGAAGGAAGGAAAAAAGAAGGAAGGAAGGAGAGTGTAAAGAAACATACTTTGACAGATTGAGCAAGAATCTGGGACCCTTGGAAAATCACAGTAACTCAGACTTTCCAATAAACGATCATTTTCTCACTGTCCTGGGACTTAGAGAAAGCATTTCACCGATCCACTGGATCTCTCTCTAAAGGTCATCTATGAAAAGTTACCTTGTGAGGGACTCATGCAGACAGGGCTCTGGCTCTGCTCTCCAGGGACATTTCTCTGGGGGAGGGAGCCTGTCCTCATTCCCAAGGCACCCACTTGTCCTGGACACGATTCCTTTATGATATTGTGATTCCTGGTGCATAGTGCTGGGCCATTTCCCTTCCCAGGTCTGAGCCCCACTGTAAGCTCTTCACTTACTGGGGCTTCTCGGCCTCTGAGATGTGCCCGAGGGCAGCCTACATTACCCTACTTAGGTGTCGACAAGGAGAGGAAGCAAAGGTTTAAGAGAATATGGGAGACCACAGCCTTGGCGGCCCTGGGCGTAAGTTGGGGTTGTAGACCTCGTCTCGGTGGTCATGTCTGCTCTTCCTCTGTGTCCAGGTGGATCACTATGCCCTGCTGTCAACCTTGCAGCTGATGTACACCGTGGGATACTCCCTCTCTCTTATCTCCCTCTTCCTGGCTCTCAGCCTTCTCTTGTTTCTCCGGTGAGTAGAGCTTCTGACACACAGGTCCATCCACCTATCATGGAAGCTACTCAGAGGCTACCTCTAGCAGGCCGGGAAGACTGGGCAGCCTGATGTCGTGACCATCAGAGCTGGACGTGGCCTGACACAACAGTGAATGTGTCCATCTCATTTTGCTGATGAATGGGAAGAAAGGACTAAGCTCAAGCAAGAGGCTAGTAGCCCTAAAACAATTTAAGTGACTATCTAGTGCCCCAAAGCCACACAAGACTTAAATCCAGGACTCCTGATGCTGCCTTTGGCATCTGACAACTTCTGTGTCCCCACAACCAACCAGCCAAGGCATAAGTCCCTGGTACACCCAGAAATACCACAGAGTACTCTTACGAAAACCCTATCAGAGGCATAGTCTTTAAAGACAAGACTAAACAACTTCCCCAGTGCAAGCGAGTGGTAGGACTGGGATTTTAACCCAGGGACCTAGCTGTCACTTATTGAAGTGCTTTCTCCTAGCACTTTATGTACATTAAATCATTTAAATCTCATCCCAATTGAATTAAGATTAATTGTAATCTTAGGAGGTTACTACTACTATCTTATAAGTAAGTGCATGGAAACATGGAGAGATGGAGTACCACCAGTGGCCAAAACATGTGATGAATGTGTAAATATAAAAGTGTATACAAGACAAGACCCATTGCCATTAATAGCTCTCAAAATATTCTCTCTCCCTCTTCCTCCCTCCCTCCCTCCCTCTCCCTCTGTCTCCCTCCCTCTCCCTCCCTTTCCCTCTCTGTCTCTGTCTCTGTCTCTGTCTCTGTCTCTGTCTCTGTCTCTGTCTGTCTCTCTGTCTGTCTCTCTCTCTCTTTCAACACACTTATCTCATTGTTCTCCCCACTTTCTGAAGCAGTTTTTAGAAGTCCTCTCTTATGAATGTCTTTACTAGGTATAATTTTTAAAAATAAGGCGAATGCTGCTGCAGAAAACCATCTAAATGGAAAGACCGGCTCATAAAAATATTACAGTGGGTCCCATCTACCTTATTCACAAAGTCTGGTACTATGTGAATTCTAGCTGTTGCTCAAAGTCAGGATGACCATGAGAGGTAAAAGTCAAGACACCAAGGCAGCTACAATAATACATCTAAAGACATGTACGAAAGAACTTCCTCCAGAACTGCCTCAGAAAGCAACAAGAGCAACAGCATAGGTGTGTTAGAAGCAAAGGGGATATTCTGAGAGGGATTAATGGCAATGAGTCTTTTACTGCAATAAGTATTTCAATTTAAATGCTCACTGTGTTTTTCCATCACACCTAGTCCATTACTCAGTGCCGCCTCATCCTGTGGGTGGTGGATCCAGTCATAACCAAGCAGTCGAGGGGCTGAGCATTTTTATTCCCTTGTGCTGTGTTTCCGAATCCAAAGGCCCAGGATATTACTAAATTGCATTCTCAGTCTTTGCTCCAGTGAGACACTGATGGAGTCCCCAGGGAGCCCTCCAAGGCTGTCCTTCGGACGCAGCCCATGCAGGACCCTAAGTGAGGAAACCCTGGCAGAACGAGCATGTGGCACTGGTGCAGGAGGCCTGGCCAGGGGCTCTGGGGACCTGACTGACAGTCACAGAGCAGCTCCCTGCCTGGGCTCTGCTAGCCCAGGTCTGGCTTCCATTGACTCCTCAGTTCCAGGATTTTCTGTGGCTCCAGGAGCCAAGTCATGACCTTCCTGGGAAAGCAACTTGAACTACAGAGAATTCTACAGCCCCTGCTTACCAGTTATCGGTAATGTCCCTCCTCACACCTTTCCAAAGTCCCAGAACCCAGGCAGAAGAAAATAGCTGCCCAACTCTGCAGGAAACAACTTATGTTGAGCTTGGATTGGATAAGCGTCTGTCCTGCCTCAAAATCCAAGAGGAGCAAGGCCCAGCCCCCAGCTTCAAATTGCTTCTGGTCTAGTCAGAGAGAAGAATACCTATGTGACAAAATACAAGGACATGCCCTGACGGGGAGGGATGGGGAGGAGCTGCACAGAAGGCAGAGTGGTGGAGAAGTCTCCTCAGGCTGGAAGGACTGCGGGTGCTTAGTGTCACATCAGCCCACGTGCCAGAGAGCTAGCAGGATGTGCCGGAGGCAGGGAGTGAAAGCTGGCACTTTTCTGGGCACTGGCTACGTGCACTTTTTACAAGAACTAACTGACTTAACTTCCTTCTGAGATAGAGGCTGTCATCCTCAGAGGCCAGAGAGCCTTAGCAAGACACACTTTGGCCTCAGAGATTTGGGGTCTGGATGTTCGCTCTGCTACTTATTGCTCTGGGACTTTGGACAGGCAGCCTAACCTTTAAGCTTCAGTGAAATAGGAGTACCCACTCCTCTGAGGGTGGCAAGAAATAAGGACGCCTGAAAGCCCCTGCAGGTGTAAGTGGGTTGGAACGTGGCCAGCTACGTCCAGCAGCTACATGGGGGAGCTATTATTACTCCATCTTATACACATGGGGAAGATGCGGCACGGAGAAGGGAGATCGCCTAACTCAGCCGCGCAGCTCTGGAGCCGGTTCTGTGAAGCTTCTTCCTCTCGGCAGGTCAGGCATGCGCCGTAGAGTGAGCCACTCTTCGCTCAGGGAAGACGCTCGGTTTTGTCTTTGCACAGAAAACTCCACTGTACTCGCAACTACATCCACATGAACTTGTTCGCCTCGTTCATTCTGAGGGCCGTGGCTGTGCTGGTGAAGGATGTTGTCTTCTCCAACTCTTACTCCAAGAGGCCCGACAGCGAGAACGGGTGGCTGTCTTACCTGTCTGAGGTGAGCTCCTCCTCACTCTAAACTGGTCGAGGAGGGGGAGAGGGAGGTCAAGGGGTGGCCACGACTTTTGAATTGGAGAAACAGCATGTGTTCTACAAACATTACAACCCCCAGGAGTGGGCCAAGGCAAGCAATCAGAAGCAGACGCGTTTACCGCCTCTGCTGTGAGTTCTTGGGTGGGAAATTTCTCACCTGTTGTAAAATAATTCAACCAGATTAAAACCTTTCTTAAAATTACTTTTTCAAAGCAGTGAGGCTCTTCCACATTGAAATAGACATCTTTCCAGTAATCTGTTACACTAACATTGCATACTTTATTTGCTAATATTGTGTTTTGTGTAGCATTTCCTCGCTGACATTTACGAGGGAGATTAGCCTATAATTTTCTTTTCTTGTAGTATCTCTGTCAAGTTTTAGTATCAAGCTTGTGCTGACCTCTTAAAATAAATTGGCATGTGTTCCCTCAATTACTGTTTCAGAAAGAATTTAAGATTAGTATCAGTTTTTAATTAAATGCTTAATAGATTATACCAGTGAAGCCAACTGAACATTGAATTTCTGTATTGGAAGGTTTTGAATTATAGGTTAATTGTGAATCTTATATTTTCTAGTCTCATGTCAGTAATAGTAATTTTTTCTAGGAATTTGTTTACATAGCTCATTTAACTTTTCAAATGTATTGATATAATATCATTCATGGTATTCCCCTCTCAAGTCTGTTGGGTCTATAATGATGTTCTCATTCGTTCTCCTGATATTTGTGGTTTGTATTTTCATTCTTTCTTTCTTTAACTGATCCTCTTTGCCTGAAGTTTCTCAATTTTATTGAAATTTTCAAAGAACACACTTTTGGCCATGTTAAGCTCTTTTATTAGTTTTTAGATCTACTCTTTTATTTTATTTATTTTTTTTTTTTTGAGGCCAGTGGTGGCTATAGTGATCAGGCTGGCCTTGAATTCAACTTTGTAGCTCAGGCTGGCCTTGAACACACAGTGATTCTCTTGCCTCAGCCTCCTGAGTACTGGGATTACACAGACGTGTCCCAACATGCCAGGCCTATGTTCTGTTCTTATTTCCTTCCATGTACTTTTTTTGACTCAGTTTGATACTTTTTCCTAACTTTTCTGGCATAATTTTACATAACTGATTTTTACCTTTTTTTTCATGTTATGTATTTGGTATAGGGTCTCACCATACAGCTCAGACTCATAGTGATCCTGCTGTTTTCAGCCTCCCTAGTGCTGGGATTATAGGCATGCACCACCATTCCTGGACTCTGTTGCAGGTTCAGCATGCTCCAGGCGGGGCCTGTGTGGCATGCAGGACCAGGAACCGAACCGTGGTCCCTGCACTTGCCAAAGCAGGTGCTTAGTCAACTTTTTTTCTTTTAAAATAAATGTACTTAAGGCCGTAAGTTTCATTCTAGGGTTGCTATTAGATGCTGACTACAAATTTAGTATGCAATTTTTTCCTTATATTCAGTTCAGGCATGTTTTCTAATTTTTCAATAATTTCTTCTTTGATCTCTGGGCTACCCTAAGTCTATTTTCTCATTTCTCTCTCTTTTTAAAAATAATTTTATTGAGAAACAAATAGTAATGAGACAGTTTCAAAGCCGATTAGTAGGACAGTTTCAATAATAAATACATTGTATATTGTCGTCTTAGTGGTTATCTCATTTCTCAATATATCATATAAGATTTTTAGTTATTGATTTCTAGCTCCATTGAGCTGAATTGAGAGATTGCTTTTCGAGTTTCTATTAAGGCAGGAGTTGATAATGACTGTTCTCTGTTTTTGCTTTAAAATGTTTTGAATGTTAAGGAAGAGCTGGTCTTTAAAAGCTGCATGAAGCTCTTTTATATTATTGCCAACTACTCTGAAATGACTGGCAAGGGTCAGGGAGGACAGAGAGCACTTATGCCTCCGGAGCCCTTCCTCTGTCCACTCGGGGTCCAGGTGCCAGGAGAGCCAGGGCTCACCTTCCATTATTCTGCCCTGCAGGTGTCCACCTCTTGCCGCTCTGTCCAGGTCCTCCTGCACTACTTCGTGGGTGCCAACCATTTATGGCTACTGGTCGAAGGCCTTTACCTACATGCGCTGCTGGAGCCCACAGTGCTCCCTGAAAGGCGGCTGTGGCGCAGATACCTGGTGGTGGGTTGGGGTGAGTGCCATGACTTTCCAGCCTCCTCTCCCGGGGACTCATCAGAACATGGGAGCCCTACAGAGTCTTGGGTTAGAGCTTGGAATCTAACTGGAGGGCAACTCTAGGATAGATAATTCTTCTCTGAAGAGAAGGGTGTGTACGTGTGTGAGACCTGCAGATACACAGGTACTGAATGAGAATGCAAAAATGGAAAGATCTTTGGTGTCAGCAGATGACAACACACCATTTCCAACTGCACTAATATGCTTGTGGTCCCATAAAAAATGCCTGTGTGGCCTCAGTGGTAGATACTGAGTTTTCATGATCCTGGAGGCCAGGAAATTCAGCATGAGTGTGTTCTCATGAGGGTGTGCTGCCTGGTTTGCAGATAGCTGGCTTTTTGCAGGAACGGTCAGGGGGTGGGAAGTGAGGGGAGAGAGACAGAAAGAGAGAGAGAGAGAGAGAGAGAGAGAGAGAGAGAGAGAGAGAGACAAAGAGAGAGACAGAGAGAGACAGAGACAGAGAGAGACAGAGAGAGAAAGAGAGAGAAAGAGAGAGATAGACAGACAGACAGACACACACACACACACACACACACACACACACACAGAGACAGAGAGAGTGAGCTTACCTCTTTCATAAGGGCATTAAGCCCATCATGAGGAAGCTATCTTTATGGCCTCATCCATTCCTGATTGCATCCAAAGGTCTCATCTCCAAATACTATTACATTGGGATTAGAGCTTAAATATAAAGTTAAGAATACAGCATTCTGTAACACCAAGTACTACAGGTGATGTTTTTGATTTAAATAATATGATAAAAAAAAAAGAATATGAGCAAGAGCATCCAGAGCTGGAATCCTAATCTTCAAAACCCTCAGAGAATTTGATGCTGCAGGATTCAGATGAAATAACCTAGGCCTGTGATTCAGGAGACTTTGGTTCATGTCTTCAGATTTACTGTGAGACTGAAATGTAAACTCTTTCTGAGGTGTCGGTTTATCTGAGAGTAAAGCCCTGGATGAGCCGGTGCTGCCCTAGCTCTGTCCAGCCCTCACAGGTCAGGCTTCTATATTTGGGTTTTTATAAGTGTTCAGCAGCTGCTCTGGGACCCATCAGGCTGGGGTGGGCGGCAGGCATGTTTGACCAGCCTTCCTTTAGTTATATTTTCTTGTTCTCTCTCCGTAGCCTTCCCTGTGCTATTTGTTGTCCCCTGGGGCATTGCCCGGGCATTGCTGGAGAACACGGGGTAAGTAATTTGTCTGGTTTGCCTCTTCCCTGAGCTGGAAATTTCCAGACATGCCTCAGTGTAGTGTGACCCCATTTTCCCGAAGAGACTATTTAACTCTCCCTACTTTATCCTTTTGGGATATGCTTGGAGATGTAGAGAAGGTGTGCAAAGGCCTTATAGTAATCAATTTATTAATGTAGTTACATAAGCAAGTAAACATAAAGATGCCATACGGGTTAGACGTGAGGTTGGGACTGTAAGGACATAAGCAAGAATACTTTCCATAGCATTGTTCACAGCACAGAGAAAAAAATCAAATCAAAAGAAAAAGAAACACAGCCAAGGAAACTCTGAGTGTGCACCAGTATGAGAATCATTGACTAAATAGTGCCATACCTATACCTTGAAATATTATGAAAGAAATCAAGTTTATTTTTAGTTTCTACCATTCCACTTGAAATCTATTGCTGAATAATGCATATTCTATGATCACATGCTTCCTCCAATAACCATCAGAGCCATATATAATATATACATAGTGGTCTGCCTGTTCACAGCCTCTCAAGAGCTGGGATTACAGGTGTGTGCCACCACGCCCAGTCTCAACTGCAGTCTCAGTGCGCCCTGGGGGTGGGGCGGGCACAGCAGGCCCGGGGATCAAACCCTGACCCCTGCACCTGCTTGCAGGTGCTTTAATCTGCTGAGCTATTTGGCCGGCCCCACAAGTAAGGTTTAAAGTAAGGTTTCTTCCATAAGGCATGACATTTTTGCCATTCAGCCCCACCTCATTTTCATCTTCTCCTGCCTGCTCTTTGCCCTCAGGTGCTGGGCAACAAATGGGAATAAGAAAATCTGGTGGATCATCCGAGGACCCATGCTGCTCTGTGTGACTGTAAGGACCCTCGCACTCCCTCCTCCCCTCTGAGCTCAGTAGCTAAAGGGGACGTTTTCTTAATCCTAGCTCTCAAATTCTCTGGTCCCTTGAGAAGGAGAAGCTGAGGTGTGAGCAGTTTCTTCTAAGTGAGAATTTAAGGACTTTTGGTTTAGGATCTAAACTGAACGTCACACTTCCATCTTCTCTGTGGGTCTGAGATGCTGACAAGGCTGTGGCCAGGGAAGGAGGAGCTGAGCAACAGCACAGTCATCAGCTGGTGTCTTCACACCATTAGCAGGAGGAAGGAAGACATCACAGAAACTACTTTTGAGAGAGGAAAACACACACTCAGCATTACCACAGAGCAGCTAGGGGTAGTGGGATCAGGACATGGGTGCTCCTCTGAGACCTGTAGGTGGTGGGATCTTGAGTCATTGGGGCCAGAATACTTGGGATGAGAAAAGACATCTGACCTTGAGGCATAAGGTCCCTTTAAGTCATAAAGTGTGAACAAGAGCTCTGCCAAAGATGCTCAAGGGAAAGGTTGAGGCGTTATCCTGAAGTGGGAAAGACTGGTGAGATCCATGGCTGGAGGGCAGAAAATCTTCCATTTAGATGTAGGGCCATTGTGGCTGGCTGCTGGGCACCATGTTCCACACTCTGTGGACTCCCTTCTCTGACAAGTTGCTTGATTTGTGATTCTATGTAAATAACGTGGTGTGATGAAAGAAAACACATCTAGCTTCCATCAAATGTCAGTATTTTTCAATAATACAAGGCAGCTCTCTGCTCAGACCTAGAGGAAAAAAAATGTTTATAAAAAAGGCAGGAGACCAAGGGTGCAGAGCTCGGGATGGCAAGGGCTGGGTCCCATCATGGCTGGTGTCTGAGGTGACCTGAGCTGCTGGTGTCTTCCCTCCAGCTGAGAGCACATGTCTAGATGAAGTCAGCCACACATGTACTGCTGGCAGCTCTGCGAGCCTTGGCTCACATCCCCCGTGTTGTCATTGGCTGTGTTGCCCAGGTGGGATTCCAGCACCTACCTCCTTGCCCGGGCCCCTCTGCCATCACCTGGTGGTAGTATTTATTGGGTGCTGCCTACATAGCAGCACTGGTTCTAAGTACTTTATGTGTATGAACTCAATTAATCTTCCCAACTGACCTATGAAATAGGTGCTAGTATTACGTTTATTTGGGGGCAAAGGCCCTGAGATGAGAAGTTACTGAGAAGTCACAGAGCTAGCAAGTGGGAACTGGACTTCAGCCCAAAGGGGCTCCCTGGGTGGCAGCTGGCACCTGGAGCTATAACACTACACAGCTGCTTGAAATATGCTTATTGCCTCCAGAGCGTGGGCCTGGGATATTGGCTGCAACAGACTCTTAGACATTAGTACCTTGATTTAGACTCTCTCTGGGTCTCAATTTCTTTGTTCCACCAAATTATCCACTGGCAGTCCCAGCCCCCATTGCTTGCCTTTCAAGTCTCAGGTCATGTATTAAGTTCCCTGCATCTGTAGCTTGACACGTGGATCACAAAGCAGGAACAGTCATGCCCTCTTCTGCGTCTTTCCCTGATCTCATACAGGGCTGTCTCCAGCCCCTGCAAGCTTTAAGCGCTTATTTGAAAACTATTTGCTATCACTGTAAACTGCGTGTTCTATTTGTCCTGGCAGGCTGGCTCAAACATGTGATGACCATCCATAAATTTATTCAGTGGGTACTTGTGACCCATACTCCAGGCCCTGGAGTGTGCTAATAAAGCAGGAGAGAAGCCAGCAGAGCTCTCCCTGATGAAGATCAGACTCTACCCAGCTTCATCCTCAATCTTCTAGAGGATTGCATTGCATCTCCATCTTAAGTTCTCTTAGAAGATGGTGTCTGTAAAAATTCTTTGGGGCTGGATGTGATTCCCAGACATTTATGTTCCATTGATCTTAGAAGTGGCTTCTCAGAGAGTGGATTCTTACTGCATGGCTTAGATTGGAAAGCATTCTGACTCACCCTTGCTTCTCCACCAGTGGTTCTGGACCGCTAGCACCAATATCAGACTCTGATACATTCAAGTCCTTATCTCCTACCTGCCAGACCTGCTGGATCAGAATTTGCATTAGACCAGGATATCCAGTAGTTGGATACACATTAAAGTTTGTGAAGCTCTTCGTTCATTGACGCGATTCTCAAAATGGGTTGTGTGTTAGAAATGCCACGATGGCCCAGACCAATGACATCAAAACTTCTGGGAGTGGAATTCATGCAGCTATCTTTTCAAATACCTCCCATGAGGAACCCGGGCTGAAACCACTGCTCTAACTTTACCACTTCAGCCTTCTGGGGCTGGCTGACCACCATGCCAGCTTCTCCTACTGCTTGCTAGTTCCCGGAGGGACGTTGGCTCTTAGCAGGACAAGTGAATGTGCTCTATCTTCTCACTTGGACCAAATAAGCTTTACCTGCTGTAGCTTCAACAACTCTAGTAGTGCTTGAATCCACAGTCACCTTAGCTCACAATGATTTTTTATCTTCTCATCCATAAGTTCTGCTGCTTCTTACCCTACTGAGAAAATGATTCTACCACTCACATACTCATACATCCAAATCAGAAATCTTGGTATTCTCTTAGTTTTTATTTTCTTATTCCCTGCAATATCCACTCAGACTTTAAGTCTTTTCAATTCTTCCTCTAAAGATCCTTAAAAATCATCTCCTTCTCCTTAGTTTCTTGTTTATGACTCTTTATTCCTCTGGCAAACATGATCCAAGCCCTTTATTCTTGTTCCTGGCAATTTACCTTCCACATTTCAGTCAAATTTTTTGTTCTGTGCTGAGAATTGAACCCAGAGCCTCATATTGCTGCAAACCAAAGTAGCCTTTTTAGAGTAAAAGTTTATTGTGTCGCTTTTCTCCTTGTAACTCTTAATGTGTCACTACTGCCCTCAGACAAGGTTCTATGCTTCTTACTGTAGCGAGCATCCTGTCGTCCTTCCCTCTTTGTTTGTCCAACCCCAATACCCCATGCTCTATGAACTGCATATGGAGAAACTCAGTGCTCTCCAGTTCTAACTCCTCCCTTGTGTTTATATTCCTTCTTCCTGAAATGCTTATCTTATGGTCCCATGTCTCTCTAGCAAGCTCTTTCTCCTGGGGAACCAAGCCCTTAATTGCCCTCTCTCAAATGAACAGAAGTTAATAGATGTGCCTGCAGTGGACTATCTAATAATAATCCTTGAGCCAACAATGGTCTTGGAGAAAACAGTAATGAACTATTGTTTTCTATGTCTGTTGGGGCTTGGACAAGAGAAAATGACCTTGAATAGAAACTGAGGGAAATTCCCTCTAGTCAAAGGACACTGACCATAGAAAAAGACTTTGGAGGGTCCATCTCTTCCAGAGTCCAACAAGGGACATTGTCCTGAGCAATGGGAAGTTAAGCCTGATGACTTCCCTGCAGGCACAGCTCTAGGAGTCTATGATTCTGTGCATTGGTTTCAGGGCTTCCCAGAGAATAAGATGTATATGTTCCACCAAACATGAAAGGGAATCAAAAGGCCTATAGTGAAGTGTGAGGAGTTGATCCAGTCAGGGTCTGCAGTCTGACTTGTAATGTTTTTAGCCAAGTGAGTTGACCTCTTTGACTTCTATTCCTTCATCTGTAAAATTGGAATTAGACTAGGTGATGTCTCCTTTGGAGACATTTTGGTATTGTCTAGAGTAATTTTTTTTTTTCAATCAGAATTGAAAATTTTATTTTACTATTCATATTAGAATAAATTGTTCTGAAGTAAAATTTTGACACATTTCTGATAGGTAGATTTGATAAACTATAGGAAAAGATAACTGACAATTATCTATGAATTATCCTTTTTGTACTTTTGGATTGCAATG